ATTGGTTTACTTCAGCTACTTTCATAGTCTAATGACATATGGCATTTTGTTTTGGAGTAATGCCGCCGATATCAATAAAATCTTCGTCCTGCAGAAACGTGCGGTTAGGGTACATTTATGAAAATGTAATTTATCTTAAATAGTCTCTAGTATTTTTATGAAAAATAGAGACAGACATAATATTAATACGAGGAATAAAATAAACTAGCTGTTCATAATAGTCGTCTTTATAAAGTCATAAATTCATTTAAGAGGCAATGTATGCGCATCTATAACAACTTTCCGGTTGATATATAAAATTTGCCTTTCACGAGGTTTAAAACTATAGTGAAACAAAAACTTTATACTAAAGGTTATTTATTATACAACGTGTGCGTGCTTGAACGACAAAAATCTCGATCACTGATGTTTCAAAACAAAAAAAATATAATGTAAATGTTGAATGTGTACAAATGTTATTTACAAAGAGCAACACCTAGAGTTTCTTGCTCATTCTTCTTAGGAGAATCTGCCTTACGAATGAGCGGTAGAGTTTAACCAATGTGACGATTTCAAGTGTAATAATGCTTACCTATGAAATAAAGATTATTTTGATTTGATTTGATTTGAATAAATATGTATGGTTAATTGGAACAAATAAGAGTAGGTAAGTTGAGAACACAATACTTCTTGAAACGAACAGCGTGGCCGTTCTGCCGGTGAGTTGAGCGGTCTCGGCTCTTTGCCTCGCCCAGGGAACGATTCAAGATGTTACTAGTTTACCAAAACGTACCTTCATTATTGTTCACTATAGTTTTCGACGAAAATATTCACGACTGACATTCATTGTAATAGCGACTCAAAGTTTTCAAAACGACACCACAATGAAAAAACAAATGACAGTCTTATAAATTTCTAATTTCGCTTTTGTTTTTTTTTTTACTTTCTTTCACAAGTGACCAGTTCCAGGAACTTTCAATATACCCCACGCATTATTATAGAAACGTATACGTAAACATACAAAACCTCTCAAAAATAGTCGTCAAAATCATCAGCCCATATACTTCCCACTGCTGGGAAAGGCTTTCTTCTCATGCGAGGGTTTTGGCCATAGTCTGCCACGCTGGCCCAATGCGGGTGTGGACACGGCTGTGAACCTTCTTTGACGTACCAGTTTCATCACGATGTTTTCCTTCACCGAAAAGTTCGTGGCAAATTTCAAATTAAAGTTCACATATATATTTCGGAAAACCCAGAGGTGTGAGCCCGGATACGAACCCATGGCCTCTGCTTGAGAGGCGGTAGGTTAAACCATTATTTACATTAGGCTACCATGGCTTTTATTTGTTAGCAGTACTCCGATATCTATATTAACGAGAGACGTACGCGCATTTCACTAATAACAAACGTTTTCGTATGCGGTCTCCGTGAAATACATTTCTTTTTTTGTAATTTAAACTTATTTAAATCTTTAGTGTTTTTAAACCCACTTGTTTGGGTCCGAGGTTCCCGGTACTTTTTTACCATTCTCCGCGTCTGCTGGCCTGAGCTCAGAGATCCACACCGTACCCCGGACGTCTATTTGGCGGACGGTTGTCAACCCGCACCCCGGATTTCATTTCAACGGACGGATCCGTCCTGTTCCGGTTCATCCAAACCTGGACGTCACCAAGGCGGAACAGCCAGGGGTGTACCAGCTAAGGAGCTAAGGCTCGTCCTGGTGCCCAAGCCGGGCCGACCTGCGGACTCCCCTTCGGAGTTCAGGCCCCTCGTCCTGCTGGACGAGGTGGCAAAGATCCTGGAGCGAATCATCGCCTCCAGGATCAACGAACACCTGAGGGGGACAGGCCCCGATGTGTCGCAGCGGCAGTACGGGTTCAGGGCTGGACTCTCCACCCTGGACGCCCTGGAGTCGCTGCGACACATCGTGGAGGAGGGTAACGGCGTGGGGGAAGGCGTGGTGACTGTGTCGTTGGACATAGCCAACGCCTTCGACACTCTCCCCTTCGCCGTTATCAGGGAGGCGCTGAGGTACCATAATATCCCCAGGTACCTCAGCTGTCTGGTGGAGCATTACCTGGAGGACAGGGTGGTGCTCTACCAGACGAGGGAAGGGAGGCGCGCCGAGCGCCCAATGAGGTGCGGAGTACCCCAGGGGTCCGTATTAGGACCACTACTGTGGAACCTGGGGTACGATTGGGTGCTGAGGGGCGCGCTGCTCCCCCGGACGGCGGTCGTCGCGTACGCCGATGACACGCTGGTGGCCGTCCGGGGGACGACCTTCCAGGAGGCGGCTCGAAGAGCCTCAGCGGCGGACATGGTGGTCCGCCGAATACAGCTGCTGGGGCTCGAGGTCGCCTTGCCAAAGACGGATGTGGCCGTAGAGGTTGGGCGGTGCCGGCAGGCGCCCACATCTCCATCGCGGGAGTATCGGTGCCGGTCAAGTCCCAGATGAAATATCTGGGACTTGTCCTGGACCGGCGATGGAACTTCGGGAGCATTTCCGGCAACTTGCTCCCCGAATAGTGGGCAACGCATCGGCGTTGGGCAGGCTCCTGGCCAACCTCGGGAGGCCGGGAGCCCCATGCAGAAGGCTATACGCCGGGGTGACTCGGAGTATGGCCTTATACGGGGCTCCCATTTGGAGTGGGGCCATATCAGCGGCGACGAAGGCGCTGCTGAGGAGGCCCCAGAGGGTGGTCGCCCTGCGAATGTGCAGGGCGGTGGCCTGCGCTGCCGCGTGCGTCCTCGCCGGTACTCCGCCGTGGGACCTCGAAGCCGAGGTCCTGGCGGAGGTCCGCACCTACCGGCGGGGAATGAGGGACCGAGGCGAGCGACCCGCTCCCCAAGAGGTGGAGCGGGAGCGCCGCCTCGCGGCGCAGCGCATGCGGGACCGGTGGAAAGAGGGCTTGGCGGATCCCCCCTATGGCGCTCGTACCATAGAGGCGATCCGCCCTGTCCTGGTAGAGTGGGTAAACCGGTCCCACGGGCCACTGTCGTACCACCTTGTGCAGGTGCTGACCGGGCACGGCTGCTTCGGTCACTACCTGCACAAGGTGGCGAGGAGGGAACCGTCCCCGTCGTGCCACGAGTGCGGCGCTGCGGATGACACCGCGCAGCACACCCTAGAGGTGTGTAGCCGGTGGGATGAGCCGCGCCGCACTCTGACGGGGACTGTAGGGCAGGACCTCTCGCTGCCGAGCGTGGTTGCCGCCATGCTCGATAGCGAGGAGTCCTGGGAGGCGGTGGCCTCCTTTTGCGCAGAGGTTATGTCGCAAAAGGAGGCCGCGGAGCGGGTGCGCGAGGACGCGGCGGACGCGCACCCGCTTCGGCGCAGACGTACGGGGAGAAGGCGAAGGCAGTTCGCTGCTCGCCTGATCCCCTAGTGAGGCCAGCGGGCTCTGGACAGGGATTCCGGAGCCTGCATTGCACGGCCTCACTCGTCTGGGGGGCCGGTCAGAGGACAACCGACTCGCCCCTCCGTTGGCGCGGGAGCCCTTGGCATAAGCTAGGGCGGCCGGGCGGCGTCGTGGTGAATGTTCACTGATCCCACGGCGCCGACTCAACCGGCGAGAGGGAAACCCGGGGGGGTTTTAGTGGGGTAGGCCCTCCAGTCTGGAGGGAGAGTCCCCACATAACCCCTGAGTCTCCCTGGGCTCAGGGGTATCCATAAAGATTTCCCCCCCGTCAAAAAAAAAAAAAAATAAGCGGTGGCTAAAAATAATAGGTGCGGTTACCTAAATAAATTTGTTTACAAGGGTGTTTTTTTCTTTTATTTAGAACGCCCCCGTAACTTGTTGCTTTGTTCCGTAGCCATAACCATCAAAATTCTCGGAGAGGAAAGGCTGTACCCTCCTTTCATGTGAACCTAAATGCTTTAAGGCAGCAATACTACGAATACAGGCCCCTTGAGGTAAGTTCACAAATCATATAATAATAAGCTTTAAGTTCTGTAGGGAGTGTTTTTATATTGTTGTACCTGTTTTTAATCCTACCTGTTTTTGTTACAGCCTTTACTTTACCTGTCCTTCCTTTCTTCCTTCTTTCACCTTTTCCCTGTTATACTTCTACAATAAATTCATATGTACGTTCTATTACTATTACTCAACCTCTCGGCCGCAGGAGGATCCGTAAATTCACGTCGCAACACCTATTTTGCGTATGGCACTGAAAGTGCACCAATAAATTTTCTAGGTTACTTTCTTGTTAATAAACTAAAAATGGACGGTAGCGTGAACCATACCTACGAAATTGTACAATCAGATTGTTACGCATAACAGACAATACCTTGATTATTTACTATAAATAAGGCAATAATCTTAATGACGCAAATCAGCAATCGCTAATCACTATTTATAATAGGGAAACAAAGTTAATCCAACTCGTACGTTATCCAAATTATCATGACATCTTATTATGCTTATCTTGCGATACATTTTACTATAAATTCGAGCCATCGCTCTTTGAGTCATTGATTTTGTGGAGGGTTGTGAGTTTCGGAAAAGCGCAAAATTAAAACAAGTAAGTATAATTTATCGCATTTTCTTAAGCAAATTTCTGTTACTTTTTGTTACTGTCTGTAGTGTAGAGTAAGTGAAAGCTAATAAATTAACTATAGAGCAATGAATAGTAGCAGTAGAGCTTCTTGTGAAGAGTTCGTCCAGGGTATTACTGCCATCTTACCTATTTCTGCCGCCAAGCAGTAATGTGAGCATTACCGCGTTCCGGTTTTGAACGGTAAGGGTGCTGGTGAAATTATAGGCACATGAGACTTATCAACTTATGTCTCAATCAACTTATGCACCAGCACAGTGGCGTGTCCCTCAGATGTTTGTGTTTTAAAGCATTGAGTGACCACTGCAACTGTTATGGACAGGCGTGTCGCTTACCATCAGGAGCACGACTTGTTCGTCCCGTCACTTGATATCCTTAAAAAAAGTAAAGATGGGGTTTTAAAATGTTATGGTGTAGTTAATAATAGATTGATGTATTTTTACCAAAACGCAATAAACGCTTTTCAGCTACCATGTTCAAACTAGCGATTGTGTTGGCATTGGCGTGCTTCGCTCATGGCCTACCTACTCAGGAATCTGGTAAGTTACTTGCAAGTTATATTTAGATTGTAAGATTTTGGTCTTCAAATAAATTATAGGTACTCGTATAAAGCATCTGGCGATTTACACCGGACCGTTGGTTTGTTTGAAAAAACAAATATACGTGATTTATATCAGAAAAAATATAGTCATTTCCTATGTGTAACTACACTTAAATCACGAAAACGTTGTTTATTATAAAGATAAAAAGCAATAGCTGAAATATGTTCGGACCTTTTTGTTCTCCTTGCATAGACTATGTGGTTTAGAATTTTAACACGTCCTCTTACCAACATTGAATTTGAGTTTGAGTTGACTTCAATTATATACATAATAAAACATGCATGTTAGTCAAATACTTTAGTTTTCTTACTAAATTTTTTTTTCCTGATTTCGTACAGAGCCGCGAAACGTCGCAATAATAACACGAGCACAATGGGGTGCAAGAGCGCCAAACAGCCGGACCACTCTTGCCACACCTGTGCCGGAAGTTATCATCCACCACACCGTTACCGGAGCTTGTACTACACAGGACTCTTGCGCAAGTCAAATGAGGAGTATGCAAAATCAACACATGAATAGTAACGGTTGGGCAGATATTGGTTACAAGTAAGTAGATGCATAGCTTGCCGCTTATTCAATAGATTTTTATAGTTTGAAGTGCACGGGTACAATTGTGAAAAAAATATTGTAGCGACAAACTAAAGGTGCAAAAGACCTCACGTCTTTTACTCAGCAATGGTTGATAGTGGGGCAACGTGAATAGAAATAATATTAATATATATTTATTACAGCAAGTTGAGCATATTCTCGCTTAAGACGTTCGTCGCCGACTAGAATTTTCAAAAATGTTCAAAATATGACAATATTTTGTTTATGACAAATATGGCTTATAAGACTGTTTTTGGTCTCATTTGTATATGTATATAAATTTTTTCGCGATATTTCATTATTTGGCTCAAGTTTGGGATTATTTTTAGTGCCGGACATATTAACCCGGTGCGGCCTAAACGCAATCATTCTTACGTTTCGGCCACGCCAGTCGCAATGGCGGACAGAGTATGTACACGTGATATTTAACCCCCCACGGCACCAAGAGGTAGACGAGATGAGACGAGAGACTGTCATTTTGATCCACCACGGCTATCAACGTGTTCATATTTTTAATGATGTCTTTTTCATGTTATATGATGTTTTCAGTTTCTGTGTAGGCGGCAATGGTCAGGTATTTGAAGGACGAGGTTGGACTACACAAGGAGCACATGCTCCCGCCGTTAACAACAGGAGCATCGGAATTTGTTTGATTGGAACCTTCACTTGTAAGTGTATATTGACTGAATAGCATATAGACCTCTCCCAAGATGCACCACATATCAAGCCAGTCTTCAGATGCACCCGTTCAGTCGTTTCCAGCACCTACAGACAGATGTACGCCCCAACTGGCTGGGTGGCAACCCACATAATTATTTATACCTAGTTGGTGTCCCCACTTATTTCCTCGTGGTCTTCTAATCATAACTAATAATAAAATTAAAATAACTGATGGTCCTGTGGAACTAAACGCGCCTTGTAAACAAAAGAATACAAGTTTTATGCAGGCTTATACATTATAGGTAAGGGCGAAAAAAATCTTGGCGAAACCCACACAATAGGGCAGACACATAAAACTCTTCAAATAACTTGCGAGTGTGATTTGGAAATTCGTGTGATACTTTGACAATTACGAGCCTATTCAAATATTTTTTCTGGAGTAGTATTCATGGTATGTACGAACTTTGTTTCAGCTGTTAACCCACCTGCTGCACAACTGAGCGCCACTCAAAACCTTATAAGCATGGGAATGTCAAACGGTCGTATCCAACGTGCTCACTGGCTACGTGGACACAGACAGGTTACGGCCACAGCGTGCCCAGGGGACGCTCTGTTTAATACCATTCGCTCATGGCCAAATTTCCGAGCCTAATTTCAATGGAACTTACTTCAAGTAAGTGTTATTAACTTATACTTCAAGTAAGATAATGTTAAAGTATTGCTGAACGTAGAAAAAACTTTCATAGACTTCTCACTGATGGCTCTACGGCAAAAAAGTTGTTAAAAACCAAAGGCAAAGATCTGCAGCAAGCACTTAAAAAAAATCGTAAGCTCTTCAAATCAGAGTTCGTCGGCACAGTATGCTGATGACGCTGATACGAATATAGTCGGATCGAAGGAATCTTTCTTAGGGTTTGAAATTTATGTTAATAGTTACAATAAACTAGTGGAATAATTTCACAAACAAATTGAATAACGTTACAACGTAAAAGATTGTGATATTCAATGAACTTCATATCACAAGTGTTATTAAGTTTACTTTTTGACTTAAGTTTCACTGGTGGTAGAGTACTCTATGCAGAACTCCTTGTGTAAGGTGTCACCTCCGTACTCAGTTCTATGAGAGAATCGCAACTGTATATCAGATAGTGCGAAATACCTAAAATACACCAATGTATATACAGAACTAAAACTGCATTATTATATATAAATTCACATCAATTGACAAAATAAGAGTATTTTAATATGAAGTTTGTCGATTATTACAATGCTTTAAGAATGTAACATTCAACATTTTTTTGTAAAATTATTCCACTAGTTTGTTATAAATTATTAATACAAAGATGGAACACTAAGAAAAATTCTTGCGATCCGGCTGCACATACAGAATTCTGTTTTTTTTTGGGTTTTATAAGGGTTTTCAATGAATTGCGAAGTCTAGAAAATATTATGATTACTTAATTCTTTTTTTTTTCATTTTCAGACGATTGGACCATTGATGTTTAACAACTGACGACATGTACTTTGCTAAGCAACCTATGGAATCGATCACAACTCTACTGACATTTCATAATATTTGTTTTATTTTGACGTAAATTGTTCGTAAAAATCAAAATTATTGTAATCATTTATTAGATAAGTTTGTTTCTTTGCAATAATTATTCAAACAGCCTGTACAGATATTTACAACTAATTGCAAAGTATAGGATGCATGTGCGTACAATAAAAACTTAGTAACTAAGTAATTAAAAGTTATGATGAGACAGATTTGTGATTATTTGCATGAAGATTTAGTTTCATTTATATTACGCTGAACCCCTTCTTGCCTGTGGACCACCTCTTTGGTCCACCTGGGTGGAATACGAGAAATTATTTATTTCCGTAGATCATCTATGTCCACCTGGGTGGACCACGGGCATGTCGTTCTTCCCGTAGCTCACCTCTTAGGTGTAAAATGATAAACAGAAAACTTATATTGGTGGTGGTCCACCTCAGATGTTACTACATTTTGAATGCTGGCCGTTATAAATATTTATGATTTAAAAAAATATAATGCATTCCTGACAATTATATATATATATATATATATATATATATATATGTATGTATTTATGTATATGTACATATATTTTTTTATAAGGACACGAGAGGTTAACACACAAAGTGGAAATAATCTCAGTATAGAGTAATAAAAAATTTAGGGCGTTTTGGGGGCTCCACCTACATCTTGGAGCCCAAGCTAACCTCACCTGCAAGTGGTGCGCCTGCTGATAGACGGACGAGGCTCTAGCGAGGGATTTTCCCTTTCGGGGGTTGGGAGGTCAGACGGCAGTCGCTCCCTTAAAAACTAACACCGCCACATCAACTTATGGAAGTCAACAGAAGGATATGGCATAGGGATAGGGCGCCGCCGCAAAACGGCGCGCAGGAGCCTCGCCCGACTTCTGTGGCAAGTGGACTAGGGCTACCGTGTCAAGGGTGGGCACGGTTAAAGAGGCAAGCCCCTACCCATCACAGGAAGCTCCGCTTTGCCACGTGGAACATTGGCACGCTGACTGGACGCGCGAGGGAGCTAGCAGACGTGCTTTCCAGGCGGAGGGTCGCCGTGGCGTTCCTGCAGGAGACTCGGTGGAAAGGCAGCAGATCCCGGCTCATTGGGAATGGCTACAAGCTGATCTACACCGGTGCTCCTGGGGGCGTGAACGGGGTGGCCGTGGTGCTCTCCGAGGAGTTTCACGATCACGTCCTGGAAGTGAAACGCTTTAGCGACCGGCTTATGGTAGTGAGGGTGCTTATCGAAGGGGTCGTGACCCACTTGATAGGCGCCTACGCACCTCAGGCCGGTTGCAGCGACACGGACAGGGCGAGGTTCTGGGATCAACTCGGGGAAGTGCTGAGTGCCATTCCTTTGTCTCAGGCAGTCGTCTTGGGTGGCGACCTGAACGGTCATGTGAGTGAGGCGTGTGAAGGGTTCGAGCGGGTCCACGGTGGCTACGGGTACGGCAGTCGCAACGCGGAGGGAGGAGACATCCTCACAACGTGTGCGGCGGCCGACCTCGCCATCGTGAACACGTTCTTTAAAAAGAACCCCGAGCATTTAATCACCTATAAGAGCGGCGGACACGCCACCCAAATCGATTTCCTACTCACCAGGAGACACCATATCAGCAAAGTGGCCAACTGCAAGGTCATACCAGGTGAGAGTCTCACTGCGCAACACCGTCTTCTTGTCATGGATCTCTGCGTAAAGCCGGCCGACAAGCCCGCTGAGCGCTGCCGACGCCAAATCAGATGGTGGCGGCTTGATAGTACCACGTCCCAGGAGTTCATCTCAGCGATCGGCGATAAATGCGCCGACACTGAAGGTGATCTAGTCCAGAACCACTGGGACAACATTCAGGCTGCCATATCTGAGGCGGCGAAAGCGGTGCTGGGCTTGTCCAAGGGTGGTCGCAAATGTGACAAAGAAACTTGGTGGTGGAACGACACAGTCCAGAGGGAGGTGAGGGTGAAGAAAGCCCTCTTCAAAACGTGGCAAGCGTCCGAATCTTCTGAAGACCGCGACGCATATAGGGATGCCAAACGTGCCGCTAAGAAAGCTGTAGCCAGAGCCAGACGGGACCACTTGCAGCCGTTGTATGACAAGTTGGAATCGTCTGAGGGGCAGAAGCTTATCTTTAAGCTGGCACGTTCGAGGGTCTTAGCGGCACAAGATATTTCCAAGTGTCGCTGCATTAAAGACCCTCATGGCAACCTTATATGCGAGGTCGACGCGGTGAAGGAGAGATGGCGCTCATATTTCCACGAGCGGCTGAATCAGCAGCACAGAGAGGGGCAGCCACCGGTCCTCCCTCCGAATCAGGGACTAGTGCGACCGGTAACGCCTGAGGAAGTCCACTTAGCTCTTCGTCGCATGAAGAATCGGAAAGCTGTCGGAGCCGATGGGGTTCCCATCGAGGCCTGGAAGGCAATGGGTCCCCGTGGTGTGGGCATCCTTACCGGCCTCTTTAATCGCGTGCTCCTCACCGGTAAAATCCGGTAAATGTGGCGAAGACTGAGTACATGGTCTGCAACGCTACAGATCCCCTACCCGTACGCATAGGCGAAGACGCGGTCGAGCCTACGGGCCAGTTTAAATACTTGGGATCTGTACTTAGCGCGTCCGGATACATCGACTGCGACGTCAGAGCCCGAATCGCAGCCGCTTGGGCAAAGTGGCGTGAGGTGACTGGTGTAATTTGTGACCCCAAGAGCTGTGGGTTAAGCTGAAAGGACAGGTCTATAAATCCATCATTAGGCCTGTCCTTTTATATGGCAGTGAAACGTGGCCCGTACTTGAGCGTCATAAGCAGGAGCTGCGTGTCACGGAAATGAAGATGCTGCGCTGGATGTGTGGAGTTTCACGGAAAGACCGTGTCAGAAACTCCCGCATCCGCGGCAGCCTTCATGTCCGTGACATTGCAGATAAACTGCAAGAAAGCCGCCTACGTTGGTACGGCCACATCTTACGGAAACCGGCATGCTACGTGGGAAACAAATGTCTGGCTATGCCACCTCCGCCGGGCCCCGGTAGAAGGGGCAGACCCAAAAAGTGCTGGCTTGACGTCGCCAAGGGTGATATGCGTGCCAATGGTCTCACCACTAAGGATGCCGAAGACCGTGCAAAGTGGAGGAGAAAAAGTAGGAAAGCGGACCCCGGGCTCCGCAGCAACCCTGCTGAGGACGCAACCGGGACAACGCTAAGATGAGAGAGAGAGAGAGTAATAAAAAAACCGACCGCAAAAGTCATTTTTCCACTAGTTTGCCACCCTCAGAGGTGGAATATTTTCTTGACATTTAAATGGAACTGCTTCTGAGGTACCATCTTTCCAACAAAAGAAGAATCATCAAATACGATTCACAAATTTTACAAGAGTTATCGCGTAACATACATACATAAAAAAACATACAGTCGAATTGAGAACCTCCTCCTTTTTTATGAAGTCGGTTCAAAATCAATGGCGCGTGAAGGGGAAATACCTTAAACGCTTAGTAAAGTTAATTTTACCTATAGGAAACATTCTTTTATTTTTATTAATATGAATAACTGCATTCACAGAATTTTTCAGACGCTTGTTTGAACCGGGAGTCGAACCAACTAAAAATGCAAAAAGAAACCTTCATTATTTTATTGTACTAATGGACAGAATCAGTGATAAGGATGAAATCTTGCCAATAAACATTGGGTTTGAAGTACAATTAAAGATAACCATACAAACAAATATCGACACTGAAGTGAAGTACACGCGGTTATTAAACAAATTGCAAACTTTTACAGACTATTTGAAAATATTCCCTGAGCTAAACTAAAAATATAATTTGTAAACCTTTACAAATTATATTTTTCTTGCATTATAGTAAATTAACTTTAAAGTTGTTCGAAGTGAGACCCTTTTCTTCCAAACACAGATTTAAATTTTCTGAGATTCACTCCATGTAGCTTTCTGCAAAGTGTTATGGTGGATCACAGTTTCCCAAAGTGGACCCTACGTGGCACTGAAGAGTCCTACGGGCGGTAGGGGCCACGGAAGCAATTGGGCGTTGATGCTTTGGGGCTGCACCGCATTTGAAAAAATACATGAGTTATCTATACAAACTACGCTACTTATCGTCGCGATGGTCTTCATGATAGAGTTGGCGCTGGTCAGCAGTCTACAAAGCAGCGAGGACGTCGTTTTGCGCATTATGGTGAAATAGTCATTAATCAGTACGCGCCTGCGCAAACATTCCAAATGCTAAACCGAGGCAGCCCCATCAATTAAGCCCGATTTCAATGAAGCGTAAATTGCAAATACATTTGTCTATAATGTATTGTGACTTCAAAAATTACAGTTTTTTCGCAAAAATATAGAAAAACGTTGCGTGCACCCTTTGGGTGCGTTCCCATAATGTCGAGACGACAGATAGTCGTGCAGTTTAAAGTGGGATGGCAATAGCTAGTACGACAGTCGTCCGGCGGTAAATAAAACGTCACCATAAAAATGTGACACATAATTGCAGCCTCGAACAATTCTGTCGTGCAAACGACAAGACGGCTGCTGTGAACCGATAAATTGTCGTTACGATCTAGTGGGAACAGCTAGCACGACAGTCGTTCAACGATATAATAAACGTCCACGACACAATCACGACTGATAGTCGTGATATGGGAACAGGGTAGACGCGACAGTCGCCTAACGATAAATTAAACGTAATGACATTATGACAACGCGCGCTACACACGTCATAAGGTTATTGCAAATTCTGATGCTTATAAATGTGTTAATTAACTCGTAAAACAATGTACTATTAAAACATCTTATACAATTTTTAATATCTAGCCGTCATATAAATTTTACTAATTCATTTTATTCTAAGTAATGAGGATAACAGAATGTCAAGATAATTTGGATAATGTACGATCTGGATTGTTTTGTTTTGCTATGATAACGATTTCGTATCATTGGTGTTTTGCGTCATAGCAAATAATAAAGATACCT